CCAGCCCCATGCAGGGCAGGGGAGCCCCAAAAACATGTAAGAGACAGCAGCACCACCCCCCCTAGCTCCTCCTCAGCTGTGACACCCCTGGGTGGGTGAGGGCAAGGTGGCCCCCGGGGTCACAGAATAACAGAATGGTGGGGGTAGGAAGGGACCTCTGTGGGTCAACCAGTCCAACTTCCCTGCCAAAGCAGGGTCACCTACAGCAGGCTGCACAGGACCTTGTCCAGGCAGCTCCTTATCCATCACAGAAAGCAGCAAAGTTGTCTCGATGGCAGGGACAGCTGAACAACTCAGCGTGGCTTCACCTCCCTGGGCAGCCTGTTCCAGTGCTCTGTCACCCTCAGAGGGAAGAAGTTCTTCCTCATGTTCAGGGTCCTCCTACTGCGACTGTGTCACCGCCCGCCACCTGACCCAAGCCCCCCAGCATCACCTCTCTCCCCAGCAACACCCTTCACTCTGCCCACACTTGAGCAGAGCTGGTGGGAGGGGGTGCCAGGGCCCCTGTCCCCTGCTCACCCACCTCCACCAAGAAGTCCCGCAGGGCCACAAAGGTGGGTCGGTCCTCGGGCTTGTGCGCCCAGCACTGCAGCATGACGTTGTAGACGTCCTGGGGACAGTCCTCGGGCCGCGGCAGACGCCCGCCCTCCTTGTCTCTCTTTCTGCGGGGCAGGGGGTGCCGTCAGCGGGTCCCAGATCCCCCCCCAGCACTGCTGGGTGAGATGGGGTGGGGGGCAGGTCCCTGCTGTGCACCCACCTGGCTGCCGTTGAGGCCAATCCAGGGCTCCTGTCCATAGGTGAACATCTCCCAGAGGGTCACCCCGAACATCCAGGTGTCACTGGCGTGGGAGAAGGTGCGCGTTTTCAGGCTCTCAGGAGCGCACCTGCGCGGAGAATGACGTGAGCATCAGGAGCTCGTGGGTGCCATGCTCCCAGGTCTCCCCCTCCCTGGGGCTCACCAGGCAAAGGGGACCTTGCGATGCTCCTGCATAACGTAGTGGTCGTCATTTTTGGGCAGGGCCCGCATCAGCCCGAAGTCCCCGATCTTGACCAGCTCGCTGGAGGCCAGCAGGATGTTGCGGGCAGCCAGGTCCCGGTGGATGAAGCGCTTGGACTCCAGGTAGGCCATGCCCTTGGCCACCTGGATGGCGTACTGGCAGAGGGTGGAGATCAGGAAATGGCCCTGGTTCTTCCGCAGGCGGTCCAGGAGGGAGCCCAGCGGGGCCAGCTCTGTCACCTGGGCCATAGGGAGGTTGGTCAGGCCAGGGGCACCCTGCTTGGGCTGGTTTCCAGCCTTCTCGTGCCCCCCTGGGGATGCCAGCGGAGGACTCGGGGTATGGACACAGCCTGGCTTTGCTCGCCCCATCATGCAGGACCCCCACAGGGCAGCATCGGGGTCGGCCCCATCCCACCACACTCACCATCTTCATGGGGTGGGAGAGCACCACACCGTAGAGGCGGATGAGGTTCCTGTGGTCCAGGGAGTGCATGGCGTTCACCTCCCGGATGAAGTCGTCCAGTGCCTCTGGCTGGCTCAGCACGTCTGTCTTGAGGCACTTCACCGCCACGTTCAGCTACGGCCAGAGCAGGGATCACAGAATCACAGAATGTTCGGGATTGGAAGGGACCTCTGTGGGTCACCCAGTCCAACCCCCCTGCCAAAGCAGGGTCGCCTACAGCAGGC